CTATGGGGGACGGAGGGAGTATAATTTATAACCAAGGAAATAAATAATCTTTTTTATAAACTATCTTTTTTATAAACTATACATAAATATATATTACTAAAAGTAATTTTTAACTAAAGGTTTAAAATAATTTAACCTTTTTTATGCAAGTGAAAATTGGGAATTGGGAAAGGTCAATGTGGGTATACAATTGTTTTTTATGGGGTTTTAAGTTTAATTTGCTAAAAAAAGTTAGAGTAGTGAAACTAATAACTAAGTAAAATGATAAAAATAAATAATCATAATTATTATAAAATATAATAAAATAATACAATAACTAATAATAAAATGATAATAACTAATAGTAGTAGTAGTAGTAATAATAATAATAATAATAATAATAATAATAATAATAATAATAATAATAATAAAAGAAGAAGAAGAAGAAGAAAAGAAAAAATAGAGGAAGAAAAAAAGGGGGGAGGGATTTGGGTGGGGGGTGGGGGTGGGGAGGGCTGGTCTCTAATACGAATAGGAAAGAGAAAAGAAAAATAAAGAAAAAGAGAAAGAAAGAAAAACATAAAAGAAGAAGAAAAAGATAACAGAAATAGAAACTAACGGAGGAATGGACGGATTGTCACCTCCTAGTAAGTTTTTGGATAATTTAAGGTACCTCGGAGTATATTTAAAAAAATAATGGGACCTGGCAGTTCTTATCACAAAATCGAGGGTACCCGGCAGCAATTTTTTGAAAGGGGTCGATATGTTTTTTTTGTCCTTGCAAATAGCGTCATTTGTTTCAGGTTCTTGTGAAATTACTCCCTCCGTCTCGGTGTTTTCGTCCACTTTCGTTTTGGCACAAATACCAAGGAGAGTGTTATAGTAGAGGAAAAAGTCTCAAATACCCTTATATTCAAATCTCCCAAAAATTGAAAACCCAAACTTTCTACTCACAAATCGCTACTCACCCCTTCCAATCGGCAATCGCTGAGCACATAAAGTGGAATATTCGAGATGGAAAACTTCGTCACCGGCTTCTGGCTCTTCAATGGCTGCTTCTTCGTTCAAAACATTGTAAATTTTTTGACCTGGAAATTGTCTAAACCTCATTCCTACTATTTACTGACCGAAACAATCGTTATTCCGCATAGCCACTTCCTTCGAATCCTGCAATGGATTCGTCGTCCCCGTCGTTGCTTTGCCTTCGAAAGACACAAGATGTGAGTACAGTGCATCACTATTTAACAAATATTTGATTTTGAGAACTGGATCCTTTGGATCGGGCTGATAGGGCGTAACATTAGCGATGGATTCAGGAAGATGACGGATTGTGGAAGAGGATGATGGCACTTGTCCAGATCTTGCAGATGAAGCATTCATGGCTGGACAATAAGTGAAAAGAAAATTCTTAAATTTAAGAGGAGAGTAAAATGGACAATAGAGACATTTGAGCCATACTAAAAATGGAAAGTGGACAAATACATTGGGACGGCCTAAAATATACTGGACAAAAAGAGTGGGACAGAGTCACGGAGTATTTATTTTTGCTATTCATCCTTGTAATTTATGTTTTGCTGGTCGACCCTTATTAAATAAAAACGAACGTGACTTGCAGACTTTAAAGTTTATTTTTTTTATGAGCTACATCAGTTTTTTAAACATATATTGACGATAAAGGATTAAGAGGAAAAAAGTAAGTTACTTTGGTAGTTAAAAAAAATGATCTAGGATACTTAAAACAAAAAGATATGTTTGTAGAGACGAAAAACATTTCTTAAGTTTTTAGCATACACACGATTTAGCTTGTTTTAATTCCTTAAACTAAGAGCATTTATCGCCCTCAAAACCTGCCTCTGTTTTTTTACATTATTCATCATTTTTAATTACAATGTTTCTTTTAAAAAAAATTCATATTATTAAAATAAGAATGCTAAGATTGACATTCTTTATTATAAAAAACATCAATATAAAAGGCGAAATACACCAAAATATAATTAAAATTTAAAAAACAAACAAGAAACATTGAAATAAAAGACAAAACAAATGAAAATTAATTTATAGGGTTGAAAATTAATTTGAAGTGGAAAATGTGTTGAGTTTATATTGTAAAAAAAAAAGGAATTGCGCCGTGGCGGACCGCTACAGTGGGCGGCCGCTGCGAAAATGCGCCGGTTTTTCAGCGCGGCTCAGCGCCGCTCACGGGGCGTGCTCCGGAGCAGTTTTTGTGGCAGAAGAGCTGCAATGGGAGAGGGCCACGGCGGGTTATGGGGGGCGTGCGGCACGGCAGGAACCCCACCCCCCAATTGTAAAAGCCCTAAGAGATGGTAAACATTGTGTGGTTTCTTGATCTTAAATTTAGTTACAAGTAGCAAGGTTGCCCATTTTCCAAATATTGCTCATAGAACATGCAACGTTTGCCAGCAAGCAACCCATATTTATTATGCAAGGTTTCTGAAGTCTGTTGCCGTGGCAAATAGTGTTTTGCCTTAGCATTTAGTAGCCTTGCTACATAGTTATGAATTATGATGCCATCTTCAGTCTTCTTATCCTTCTTTCCTTTTTTTTAATTTAAAAAATTACTCATCTCGGGTAGTATTGTTCACCATTTTACTTTATGGCTAGTAGTTGATGAATGCTTTAACCTTGTTTATTACTCTGTACATCATATTTGTGGGTGTCGGGGGTCGATGTTGTGACCTCCCTCTAATGCGGGCAAGTCCCATCCTCTCAGGTTTATGAATGCTTTCTAATCCCTTGATATGTAGGTAATTGAAGAATGGACAGCTCATGTAAGAGCCGGAACAGGTATATTAGTCATGAACGCGGTCATGTATTTCTTTATTTTATTTCTATTGTTTGAAGGTGAAAAAGAAACCGCATCTTGCATTTTCATTGAGGTTTGGACTTGTATTTGTGTGTGTAACACACTTGAATTTCATATTTCTTTTGCATACCTAAGCCATGTGACATCACACCTTTAGGCAGCGTTTTGTTCAATTTATATTTTCTGCTTATTACTTATTCTTACTATAATCACATCAGACCATATCAGATCAGAAATAGCTTTAATTATAACTGCGATCAGATCAGACCAGATTAGATCTTCAAAAAAATTAGATCAGGCAAACGGAATGCAGCCTTAGTACAATATTATTATGGGAGTGTAGGAGAAATTAGTATACCATCAAAACACATTTCATACATTAACCCAGTTAGACTTATGCATGGTTTGGTTCCTTGGTTTTAGGGGATTGGTCGAAGTGGGAGAGTTTCTCTAATCCCAAATTCCCATCCTTTAGTCTGAACGAACATACAAGAATATTTCAATCCTTTATCTAACAAGTTTTCTGCTAAACAAGCCCCTGTTTTAGTACTATTGACTCTTACAATGTAGTATTTGTTCATACTTTTCTCAAACTAATGATATAGGAGTAGCTAGCAACCAAATGATGTAAGCAAACCCCAAGTCGTACAAGAATTTAGTATCACTGACCCCTCATGGTATTAGTAGAGGCAGAGCTCTGGCCTTGAATTAAACAAGTGTTTCATCACTTGTACAAATGCCATAATTTTGAGCATTAAAGTATCACTTGGTCATATCGTGAAGCTAATTTGTCAATACCAGATTATCTGTTTGGTTATTCAGTGGGTTGTTGAACTGTGCCATTGAGATTAAAAATCAGCTTTTTATTCCCTAATCAATCCCAGAAATTTCCAATTTGCAGATAATGAAAACCAGGAGTCTGCTTCTGAGGATATCAACCACCTTCTGTTTTCTGCCATTGTCCCGGGAAATTGAAAAGCTTTATTACAGTTTTATTATCTAATATGATGAGGTGCTGAATGCTGATCATGGTAGTTAATGTTAATTCCCTATTGCAAATTGCGAGGGCACACTAGATGCGCCCAAAAAGGACGATTCAGTCCCAAATTCCCTCTTTAAGATTAAAGTTGTAGTGCAATGAGGAACATTTCCCTCTAAATGAAATTGTTTTCTCCATGTATATAGTTTAGATAACTCTTAAGCTGAAACTGGATATTTTCATTGCTCTCGTCCCTGTTAAACCTCTTTTGATGGATTTTGCAGTTAGCCTTCCATATAATGTAGCACTTAGAGAAATATGAGTGGACAGAAGTTGCTTCAGAAAGCACCAAAAATGAAGTTCTTAGCATGCACCAAGGTAAACTTGCATCTGAGTCCAACTCTGTTTAACAGTAGATCTTCACAATTTGATGTACCTAATTAGTTCTTAGTTTTTGCGGAAAACTTGATTTTTACTATGCCCATACCTGATTGATTGACGAGGAAATAGATTGAGATAAGATTTCATTCTTCCCAGTGGTTCCTAAGTTTAATATAAATTGGTTCCCGTATACGAAGAATAAACTCTATTGTATCTTCATTATTTAAGGAATAATATTGTTCCATCATTAAAACTTTCTTATGCAAATGAAAGATAGAATATGATTCTCCGTAGTTTAAAGCTATATTTCTCTTCTCAACCTATTTTCTCCTCAATCCAAACATGAGAAAAAAACATTGCGATGTGAGTGTTCTCTTCATCAATTTTCTTTCTCACCAAATTCTCACCATCGAAACAATGGGTTAGATAATACTGTATGATCGAAGTTCGTAAATGACTTCAAAAACTCAAATTTGGAGTTTAGTTTGAGACACATGGAGTACTTTCTAAAGAGCATTATTAAAGTTCAAGAGCAGGCACGAATTTGGATTGTGCACCTTTTTAGGGAACTTGACACAAACTTGCACACCGTCTATCCGCCCTCCACATTTTTTTAATGTGAATAAAATTATTAGAGAGTGGATAAGAAATGTATGGTGAAGAGAGGAGTGGTGTGCAAGTTGGTATGCAAATAGCATTACACTTTTTCACTCAAAAATGCTATGTGCACACCAAGTTGCCAACTTTAAGAGTGCCACATATGTTGTTTTATGTTATTAGCATGTTTATCAGGTCAAATATTTTATTGAGTAAATTCCATAAAAAGTTCCCAGTTATATGTTATTTACATATTTAGTCCCTACATATCAAATATTACTGATTTAGTCCTTCATTATTATATCATTTTTCACGAATGGTCCTTTGGTAACGTTTTTGTTAAGAACATGGATAAAATTGTATATTCATACATCTACAAAAGAATATTTGACTTATAAACAGCATTTAAGACAAAAACTACTTATTAGGAACAAGCCAATAAACACCATCACAGAGAAACACACCTTAATTTGGGATGGAGGGAGTAGTAAATACTGTGTAAGTGGGCCTAAATTTAATGAGTAGTTGCTAAGTAATGCAACAACGAGTCTAAAGTCTAGGAATAATTACTACGTCGAGTAAAATTTGCAAAAGTTTCTGCAAAGTATTGATTTATTCCCAATTATCATCACTATCTTTTACTTGTATATTATACTCCTATATTATGAAAAATGCTTTCTAATGCTGGAAAAAAGACTCTGCTTCTCCAAAGCACAGTCCAAACTTCCATTTGATTTACTTCCATTATTGTATCACAGCAGAAATAGTTTTCTCTTGAACTAGTAATTGAATAATATCACACAAAGTGAATGACTCATATCTACCATTGATCTAATTAACTTGCAAGCTTAGCTAGCTAGCTAGCTCTCTTGCTAATAATTAACATCCCACATTTTGTCTTGGGGCATTCTTTTGACAACTTACCTAACCCAAAAGCGCGGGAAATGCCCAAATGATTCACAACTATATATCACTCACACACAGCTATCTAGAAGCCATAGTTCTTCTTAGCTCTTCACACTTTTCCTAAGATGAAATCATTCATTTTAGTGCTCCTTTGCGTCTTCCCGATGGCGGCCGAGAGCCACTGGAAGGTGATCGGCCCGCTGTGCGCGTCCCAGATCACGCTGGTTGACCACGCGTGCTCGTTCCTCCCGTTCGCCGCCCTCCCCCCGCCAACGCCGCCTTCGCTCGTCGCCGCCCCGGGCCCCGCGCGCCCCGACGGCGGGCCCCACTTGCGCCGCCATGGGCCCCGCCGGCACCACCGCGCGAGCACGCCGGAGGAGGAGATTTGCTGCCGGTGGCTGCGGGAAGTGGACGACGAGTGCGTGTGCCAGTTGCTTGCCCAGTTGCCTGCCTTTCTTTCTAAGCCTGTTCACCAGTACTCTGTCATTGTTGGTGAGGCGTGCAATGAGAACTTCCAGTGTGGGTCTGGGATCAAACCCCATGGTTGAAACTTCTTCTTCTTCTTTTTTTTTTATATGATAAATCTTCATGCTATTGTGTTGGATTTGTTGAAAGTTTGATACGTCAATCATAGACATGGGGCTACATGCATGATTTTTGCTATTCTTGTGAGTGATGGATGTAATTCCATCGATTTTCATATTGGCTAAAAATCCGAAAATAACATAGTCTCTATGTCCCATAAAAAAAGATCCACTTTTGATTAAATATGAAGATTGAGAAAAATAAAATTTTGTGGTTGATAGTAATGTGAAAGAGAGAAATTATAAGGGCAAAATATTCACTACAAAAAAAAAACGCGGCATTGGCACGGCCGTTGGCACGGACTGTAGTATTAAATTTCCGTGACTTTCGGTTTTGGCACGGACTTTTGGCACGGACGGTGGAGCTGCCAATTACGGGGCTCCAAAACATTTGTCACGGAATCGTGTCCGTGCCAAAAGTTTGGCACGGAGTTTAGCACGGATGCTCTGTGCCAACCTAACGCCACTAACAATTTAACGTTTAAGTTATTGGCACGCCGCAACCCATGACAACCGTCCGTGCCTAGTTTAGCACGGATTGTTGTCACGCTAACTTCCATGCCATACATTTTTTGAAATTTGAAAATTGAAAGAGGCGCCAATACTTGACATTCGAATATTAAAAATTTTAAATTTTAATTTTGGCACGGCCTAAATCCGTGCCATTAGTTTGACTGCTAAAGTAGTGTAATTTTTATGAATATTTTAATTGCCCGTTATTTTACTTAATTTGGCACGATAAATATCCGTGCCTAATCTTATAAAAAAATAAAAAACAATTTTAAAAATTTTAGAAGAAATAAATAAAATCAAATTAATCTACTAAACAAACATTTAAATATAACTAAACATTAAAACATGTTAGGCATCACAATAAAAAACATGTTCAACATCACAAAAAATAATATGTTCCACATCATAATAAAAAACACAAAAACCACATGCAATAAACACATATTGCATACTGGTTAAATATTACAAATTATTTTTAATGTTACTAGTTTAAAAAACTAGTAACATCACAATTTTCCCGATTGTTTTCTTTTGTGACTTCCTGCATAGGATTATTAGATATTGTAGAGGGGACTTGAGATTGATGAAACATAGGCATGGGCATGGGGGACATGAGAGGTTGTGAGGCGAAAAAATATGCTGGAGTTTGGGTATTATTGAGCAGGGGGCTTGGACTTCTCGGGAGAGACATCGAAAACGGCCGAACAGCATTTGGAGTAGGGGCGGCAATACTATTCACGGAAGCATTGTACCCCTGAGTCAACAAAGTAAATGATTCTTTCAATCCCTGAAATTGCGTTAACAAGTCCTGGGGTTGAGCTTCATATTTCTTTTCCAAAGCAGGACTCTTTTCTTCAAATTTTTCCTCCAACTCTTTCTTCAAGATGGCAGCATAATCTTCATGACTAGGGCCTCCGGATGAAAAAGACCCCGAAGCACCCGCTTCACAGCCCTGCCCAAAAATTCTGTTCTTCTTCCTCCCCACCACGTCAACATACAATCCAAGATCATCTTCAAGTTCTTCATCAGCAATATCTTTCATATCCACAGAATTTGAGCCAGATCCAGACACCGCCTGCTTCTTTTGGACAAGCTTCTCCTTGTATTTTTTCTCCATTAATAATACAAAAAAACAAATATCAATAGTTATTAGTCTAATTTAAAATAAAAAAAATCATTATTCAAAAATGATAAATAAAAATAATACTTCCTCCGTCCCAAATTATAATGCCTGTTCACTATTCACAGGGTCAAACTTCATTCACTTTCTTTCTCTATTTTCGTTAGCAAATTGATAAAATAAAATATTGTTGTCACTACTAGTTTTGTAGATCTTTTGATGTAGTATTTTGATATGTAATTTTTATTTTTTAGTTCTATACCATTTGTCATATAAAATGATTTGAAAATAACTTCAGTCAAACATCGTAAACCGAAACAGGCGTTATAAAATGGGACGGAGGGAGTAACTTTTAAGAAAAAATAGCTATTACCTTGATTTGAGCAACTTCTTCAGACGGCTCCGCTCCTTTTTTCACAAGCAACCTGTTAATAATCTTCAACTGGGTCGGAACCACTTTATCCTCCCTCTCCAAAATTTACTTCAAACCAAAGGAATAACCAAAAAACATAAGTATTTGAAACACAAAATAATACGCTTACCATCTTTTTCACATGCTCCCTGACTGAGCGACGACCACCGTAGTATTGCCTCTGTTTAGCCTTCTCAGTGTTCCTGTTCTTGCTCGACCTCTCGCTCTTAACTCTAAACTCTAGAGATGTCCAATACTGAGGCATCACTCCCAGTGATCTGTACGAATGAACTTTGGCTTCTTATTCTTGTTTCTTGCGTTCATAAACCTTTTTGTCAACCAATGGGACCCACGAGAATTGAATGCACCCTTCATTGCTTTATATGTCTCCACCGAGTCTTTCCCAGGCAACCACGTTTAGCGAAGCTACATAATTAAATTCATACAAAATAAACTTCAAAGCCAGTTGTGCATTAGAACCTAGTTTTTACTTTTAAATCCAATATTAGGAGAAGTGGTGTGATTTTGAATGCACCCTTCATTGCTTTATATTTCTCCGTGCCTAATGCGCGATTTTTTTGTAGTGATTGTTTCTATAAGTAAAAAGTAGAGCCTTTTTTTGAACGACAAAAAGAAATATACTATGTAATTTGGAACCGGGGAGGATATGAATAAAGTGAAAAAAGATCAAACAATAAGCACGGGTAATACTTGTGAAGTCTCGGGGCTTCAAACTTTCTCTCTCTGTCACGTCATCTTTAATTAACTTGCGTCAGAGATTCACTGGAAATAAGTTTGAAGCCCCGAGGCTTCAAATTGGGGCTTCAAACCTTTATTTTTTTACATTTTAAAATACACATCTTCTAAATTTCAATTAATGAAATTTGATTATTTAGTTACTTAGTTGAATTGAAATGAGAATAATTCATAAAATAATCACAATCATTAAATAAAAAAGAGTAATTCTTTAAATAGTTCTTTATAAATGGGGGGTTTCCATATTTAGTCCACATTTTTCAAATATTATATTGACAGTCCTTATTAGTTGAGTATCATTCCACATTTAGTCCTCCGTCTATTTTTCTGTCTCGAAGCCGTTAGACAAGGACCAAACGTGGAATGATACTCAATCAATAAAGACCACAAAAATAATATTTGATAGAGTAAATTCCCAAAATAGTCCTTTGTAATAAGGGGTTTTCCCAAATTAGTCCTCAATAAATTTTAATTACTTGCGTAGTCCTCTATAATTGGATTTATTCCCAAAATAGTCCTTTATAATAAGATATTTTCCCAAATCAGTTCTCAATAAGTTTTAATTACCTACGTGGTCTTCTATAATTGAGATTTATTCCCAAGATGGTCCTTCGTAAATAATATTACTCAAATGAGCATTAATTGGTGTTATTTTTTATCCGCTAAATTTAGAATTAATTCTTAAAATAATCATGTATAATGAAGTGCTTTCCCAAAATGATTTTTCTAATCAAAGATGTATATTTGATTTGAAATTTAAAAGATTTTTTTAAGTTTTAAATAATTCATACATTATTTATAGTCAATGTATTTTTAAATTTTACATTTAGTTGTACAAAAATGATTGTTTCGAAAATATATTTTAAATTTGGATGATCAAAATACTAAAATATCTCTCAATTAATCATCATTTGATGACTGATTTTGGAAAATACCTTATTACAAAGGACCATTTTGAGAATTTACTCATAAATAATTTATGAATTATTTAAAACTTAAAAAAATCTTTTAAATTTTAAATCAAATACACATCTTTAATTAGAAAAAAATGAAATTTGCAGTAAATAGGACTAAAACATAAATCATTTTCCTATGTAGGACCTAAATTTTTTTATTTCCTAAACAAGACTTAATAATGACTAGTGAGAAGAATAATGCCCAGGTAATTCTAGATATTTAGTTGAATAATGACTAATAGATAATGACTAATGGTCCTACATTGTGAAATAAAAATATATGGTCCTATTTTGAGAAAGTCTTTATGTTTTATTCCTATTTAGGTTAATTACTCATTAGAAAAACCAATTTGGGAAAGCACTTCATTATAAGTGATTATTTTAAGAATTAATTATATTCTAAATTTAGCAGAGAAAAAACACCATCAATTAATCCTCATTTGAGTAACATTATTTATGAAGGACCATCTTGGGAATAAATCTCAATTATAGAGGACCAAATAGGTAATTAAAACTTATTGAGGACTGATTTGGGAAAACACCTTATTACAAAGGACTATTTTGGGAATAAATCTCAATTATAGAGGACCACGTAGGTAATTAAAACTTATTGAGGACTAATTTGGGAAAACCCCTTATTACAAAGGACTATTTTGGGAATTTACTCTATTTGATAATATGGACTAAAAATTAAAATTCTTCCGTTATAAAGGACTATTTGGAGAGTTTAATTTTTTAAAACCATTTTTAATATTGAAAGTACTACCTGCGTCTTTGAGTATTTTGTCCAATTTTGACTTTTTGCAGTCAACCATTTTCAACATTTGACCAATAAAATAAAATTATTTACATAAAATTATTTTCATAAATCCAACATTTGACTTTTTGCAGTCAACCATTTTCAACCATTTTTGTATCGATATCTAATATTAATTTTATTTAATTCGTGGTCAAAGATTACCGATTTTGACAAAAAAAACTCAAAAGTAGATCAACACTCTCGGGCGAAGGTAGTAATAAATATGAAAAGTATATGACTGTAGTTTATAGATAAAAAGTCAAAATTATCTTTAAAAATAATTTACCAAAAAAATCATTTTTTAATATGAGAATTATCTTGGAAGATATAGGAATTAATAAGTAATTTGAGATCATCCAAAATAGGAGTAAATATAACATGGGTACATATAACATCTATCCTCAAAATAAGAATTTCATGTTTTTTCTCAATATACGTGTTGCACTGTCGCATAATGACATTGTGTAGTGATATTATATATTGGCATTATAAGAATTATACTCTTATTTTGGAGATAAAAATTTGAAGCTCTTACATTATTAAAAAGGAATAATAAATTTGAATATCTTTTTAATTCCTATCAATTTCGAATAGATTCTCTTATTAAAAATTGAATTTTTTGATAAATTAATTTTTGTGGTGTATAAATTTTGACTTTTTATAAATAAACTACAGTTATACAACTTTCCTATCTATTATTTTTTATATTAAAAGTGGTTTAAAAAGAATAAATTCCCCAAAAAGTTCTTTATAACGGGGGAATTTTCATATTTAGTCCATATTATCAAATATTATTTTCGTTGTCCTTATTGATTGGGTACCATGCCACGTTTGGTTCTTGTCTAATGGCAAGGAGATGGAAAAATAGACGGAGGACTAAATGTGGAATGATGTCCAATTAATAAGGACTGTCTACTTAATATTTGATAAACGTGGAATAAATATGAAAACCCCGCATTTATAAAGGACTATTTATAGAATTTACTCAATAATAAAATTAAAATGACAATAGTTTATAAAAATTACATTCAATAAAAAAACATTTTATAAAAAAAATACATTAAAAAAACTAAGGCAAATTATATTTAGCCTTGTCCTCTTTTTGTCTTCTCTCGTAAAGCATGCGTTTGAAGCCCGCTAACGTATCAAGGTCAGTTTTCATTATTTCGATCTATTCCTTCTATTTCCTTCGTTTCTCCTCTCTTCTTTTCTAATATTGAACACCCGAAGTTTTTTAACTATTGCCTGACCGATATCGTCGTCAGAAAAAACAGACCCGGATCCTCTAGAACCCGAGGCAGTGGATTTTGCCTTCTTTTTTTCGATCGGCCGTGGAATGGGTTCCTCGTCATCGGAATCATCTACGTTGAAGGGAGACCTTTGTTGGGACGAACCGATAGTGTCATCGACCTCAACCTCGGCCTCGGCAGAGAATCTTTTCTTTGAGGATCCGGCCTCTTCGTTGTTGAGTTGTTGCCATTTGGGTGAACGGCTTAAAATTATCCAAAGATCGACGGGGACATTGCCTTGGTGTGCGTCGTCTTGGTACTGGGTGGTGGCTTGCCGCAGAACATTAGCATCGTTCATCCCGCTCTTCCGGGACCGAGAGCATTATATTCCTCGTAAACTCTGATAAACTTTCAGACTTTACGGCTGATGTGTGTCCCCATTTGGAAGTGAGTTGGTCTCGGGTATGGTACGATCCATCACATCCTTCGTTTGCTCGGAACCTTTAGGAAGTATATAATTGTTCGAAAAAAATATTTTAACACAAATATATAAATAAAAATACAAATATATTAAAAAAACATATAGATTTTACCAACGATAGAATGCTCAAAGACGTCAACCGTACCCAAGCCGACGCCAACAACGATTCTTCCTCCGACGTCCACTTTTGAATGGACCGTGCCGCCTCGATCATTGACTTGTCGCCCTTCGCTTTGTGAATGTTAGTTCCATGGTGTTGGCTAATCTTTTGGCAAAATAAAATCCCATATGTGTTAGGTGTTTTACTAGGTAGAAACCTCTATTTGTTATGAGAGGTTTATTTTATTTAGACTTCTAGAGTTGCTGCATTTTTCGAGGTTGACATAGAAGATGCTACACCACGATGCTGTAACACACTGTTCGGGATCAGAAGTCTGAGCACGGGATTTTAAGCTGCAATCTGAATTAGAGACCTATTGGGATTGTGATTAATCTAAGCTTCTCCCTCCTCTCTTCCGATGATTGTACGCATAGCAGAGAACCTTTGCCTTTTTTTCTTCTTCTTCGGATAAGGCTCCCTATGCTCGTTGCTTTGTTTTTCTGTTATTCCTACATCCCTCACCTCTCATAAAAAAAGAGAAATATAATTCATCAATTCACTCTCTCCCTTCCTGTTGATCTCTTTTCGGAGTCACACAAGGCTTGAACCTTCTGACATAGTGGTGGCTTTGCTACCCTTTGAACTTTTTCGGTTCAAATTGACAGACTTTCTATAGGACATTTTGATGAATATATAAATTTAGATAGATAATATAACAATTATATATATATATACATACATACATACATATATATATATATACATATATACATACATACATATATATATGTGTGTGTGTGTGTGTGTGTATAATAGTATTGTAATATAAATAATATATTATAAATTTATAATGTGAAATTATTCACATATATTATAATATCATTATAATATGTTACTCCCTCTTTCTCAAATTAAATTGTTTGTTTACTATTCACAAGTTCAAACATTATTAACTTTCTTTCTCTATTTTCAGTAGTCATTTGATAAAATAAAATAGTCATGTCATCACTAGTTTTGTAGATCTTTTGATGTTATATTTTAAAATGTAATTTTTATTTTTTAATTTCATAGCATTTTTCATATAATAAATAATCTAAAAATAATTTCTAGTCAAACATTGTAAACTAAGACATGCAATATAGATTCGGACGGAGGAAGTAATTAGGGGTGGGCAAAGGCCGGATCGGGCCGATTTTCATAGGACCTAGAGCCCACCCACTTTAAATTTAAAAAAAAACCAACGATCCAGAACCGGACCAAACCAGGAACTGACTGGTTCTAGTACCTATCCTCCTCCTCCCCCAGGACCGGTACAGCCATTTTTAGAACCCGGTTCACTCCAACCCCCTGCCCCCCCCCCCCCACCCCTCATCCTGTCACCGCCTAATGTTTTATACTCGAGTATTTATAATTTTACATGTACAATTAGACATAAAGAATATTTGATTATTTGATAATTGACATCCTATTTTTTTTCCCAAGAACTTACGTTTTTTAAAAAAAATTAAATTGAAAAAATTAATCAAGAAGAAACAAAAGAAACAAACCTTAATTTACCTCCATTTACTTTCTTCTTTGAAAAATTCTACTCCCTCCGTTTGGAAAAACCCTTCCCACTTTGATTTGGGGCAAAAATAAGGAAGTGTTAAATTATAGTTGATTTCCAATTTTGCCCCTGATGTGATGGGGAAGTGTTTTGTTGGAAGTGAAAAAAATGAAAGAGGAAGTGTTTTTGAGAACGGAGAAAATAGCTTTTAGGAAGGTATATTTACTTTTTAAGAGAAGGTAAATGCACAATATACATTCTTATTGTTACATTAGAGACTGTGCAAATTCAAATAGAAAAAAAGGATATGGGTTGAAGGTTGCCTCTAGAGACCGTGAAAAGACCAATTTGTAGTCATGACCAACCATATGTTGTTGCCTCTTGAGTAACCCAATCAGCCTGGATTGAAGGTGTTAATTTGCATCGATGACCTAGCAACTTTGAATATGGCAATGAATGTTGTTTGCAAAAGTAATTGTCTTCAACATTGATATGTGATGCATTAAATCTTTACAGTGGAATCAAATAATATATTTTTACCCAATACTTTCTTTTTATAGTTTTCAATTTAAACACACTAAAATCGTACACTATCCAAAATTACAGTCAATGCAACGCAGAAGTACGAGATCTAGTGATAATAAAAGAGGATAATTTTATTTTTAATTTTTAATTTTTTAAGAATTTTATACTCGGGTATTTGTAATTTTACAGTACAATTGGACAAAAACTATACGTATTTGATTATTTGACAATTGACATCCTAACTTTTTATCTAAGAACTTAATTTTTTTCAAAAATTTTTAAATTGAAAATATCAATCAAGAAAAAGCAAAGGCAACAAACCTCAATTTACCTTCTTCTCTTTGAAATTCTACTTTTTAGGAAGGTATTTTTACCTTTATGAGAAGGTAAATACACAATGGCTTCTCAATTTACCTACTTCCTCTGCTCTAAAATGATTTACACTTTACGTAAGATGAAATAAGTTTTCAAATTTTTTTAGTTCATTTCATTTATAGATTGTCATAAAGTTAAAAATAAAACTTATCGTATTTAAAACTATATCAACACTTCTATAAAACTAGAATGAAAAAACTATTTTGTTTTATCGAATAATTAATAAAAATGTACAAATAAATAAAAAACTTTTGTAACTTTTGAAAATTAAGGAGTTTAATATTTTTTTAAGACAAAAAGAGTATTACGAGTTGCTCTTAGGCTTTCTTTCCAAATTTTAAAAGAAAAAAAAAAGTTATTTTTCCTCTACCTAAGATTTTTCACACACAAGGATGTTGACGGATATGCTGCCCCTGAATAAGAATAAAGATTAAATAAACTTACTGTCTAATCATTCTTGATACGTATTCAGGTGCAGCGTACCAACCGTAACCCTTGATTTCAGTTCAATCGTGTTGTGGTTCTCTCTTTCATCTTTGTATTCCGGGTGTTTTTATATGTGATTCTCCGGCGTGGGCTTATTTTCGTTATACTCCAGCCGTGTCAAAATTAGGGATATAACCTGATCTTGAGTTGACTCTGATTAATTAATTAGTTATGTAGGGATTTAATCTGGATAGGAGGGGATTAAACAAATTATGATTGTTAGTTCTAATTTCCTGTATATGTTGTTCATAAATAACCCAACAGATCTAACCTTGAAAGATTCACTTGTTTGAATTGTTTTCTTCTTAGGGAATATATCAAGAAAATTTACTTAAATAGGACTAAAACATAATGACTTTCCTAATATAGGACCATATGTTTTTATTTCCCAATGTAGAATTTTTGGTCATTATCAAGTAGTCATTATTCAAGTAAATGTCACGCATTACTTAAATAGGACTAAAACATAATGACTTTCCTAATATAGGACCATATGTTTTTATTTCCCAATGTAGAATTTTTGGTCATTATCAAGTAGTCATTATTCAAGTAAATGTCACGCATTACTTAAATAGGACTAAAACATAATGACTTTCCTAATATAGGACCATATGTTTTTATTTCCCAATGTAGGATTTTTGGTCATTATCAAGTAGTCATTATTCAAGTAAATGTCACGCATTACTTAAATAGGACTAAAACATAATGACTTTCCTAATATAGGACCATATGTTTTTATTTCCCAATGTAGGATTTTTGTCATTATCAAGTAGTCATTATTCAAGTAAATGTCACGCATTACTAGACATTATTCCTCCCACTAGGTCATTATTAAGTCTTATTTAGAGAATAAAAAAGTTTAAGTCCTACATTAAGAAAGTTATTATGTTTTAGTCCTATTTAGTGCAAATTTCACATATATCAATCAAATATAGGTGGACAAAAGAAAACCTAAAGTCTATTTTTCCAGAAAATTAAAGTCTAGTTAGATACTCATATGTTTAGGAGTTATATACTCCCTTCATCCCATAAAATAGTCTCCTTTTGTCATCATATTATATTGTTTCCCTAAAAAAGAGTCCAATTTGAAGAAAAATGCAAATTTTCATTATACCCAACAATTTTTAATGAAGCAAAAAAAACATGTTAAATATGTTAAGTCCTGTTAAACTAAAAAATAAATGTGCATATATAGTAATATACTTCCTCCGTTCCACAAAACTCTTCCCCTTTCATTTTTTTGATTTCCACAAAACACTTTCACTTTCTATTAAAAAACCACTTTTACCCTTACTTTTTCATACCCTACCTATCACATCATACTTTTTCACTAATAATCAAATTATAAACTATGACATCTTACTTTTTTCCATCACATCAGGGGTAAAATTGGAAAGTCAACCAAAATTACACTTTCCTTATTTTTCCCCAAAGTCAAAATGGGAATGATTTTGTGGAACGGAGGGAGTAGATATGTTTTGTGAACTGCAATAGTACTAAAATATAAAAGGCACTCACCGGGATCGTTTCCACTCCCAGTCGCTCTTTGCCCGGTCGGTTCTGGTTTCTGCCGTCGTGCCCCAGCCTTTGGAATGCTGATCTCCTGGACCCTTCGGGCTTGATTGCCTTACCCTTCAATTTCTTTTGTTCCTGGGGAAGATCCCAGTCCTCATCTTTGCTGTGGACCGAACGCACATCCCCGTCCGATGTTATTTGGGTATGTGATCTTCGAGATCGACTCCTTCTAGACCGGGACGGGCCAACTTTATCCATTTCTCCGACCAGATTTGTCGGAGCAGCGGCCGGATGATGCTAGTTTGTGGGAATGATGGTGGAAGCCCGGTTACGCTTGGGAAAGGAGTATTTTGGGGTAGAGTCTGTGGGTTAATCCGGGAATGAAAGGGGAAAACCCTCCCGGTTGTTGAAGCATGGACATGAACTGTCCAAAACTTTGGAAAGCTTGGGAGTACATCG